CCTTGTGGGCTTTGTGCACAGTCTTGTTGTAGTTAAGCCTTGATTGTTGTAGGTAACACTGGAAGGGATTGACCTCCAGGCCAATTGGCTATGAGAATCAGCTGTTTCTGCAGTGGGAGAATGGATCTCTAAGGAGGTGCTAATCTAGCCTCTGCCTGAGGCTACCCAGCAGAAGCCAGCTATGAAGGAATGCAAGTTGCCCTGTGGCCTTGGGCCAGCTGCAGTTTGTTAAGTAATTTTCAGATCACAAAGGGCTGGGCCTTTCATATGCAAAAGCCTCCCTGCGTGGCTTGGGTGGGGTGGGGTCCCAGGGGATCAACAGGGCGGAGCAAGCAGTTATGGCTGCTCTCAGTCCTGCCCTCAGAGGCTCTGCTTTTCAGTGTCCAGGCAGTGCTGCGAGCACGTCCGAGAGAAAGTTGCCCTTGAGTTCCGACTGATGCCAGACAGTCTAGTTTCTCCCGTATGAGTCTGGGTCCCCAGAGACTCACCCGGAACTGGAGCTCAGAGCTTGAGACTCCCTCTCAATTGAAAAAGACAACCATGTCCTCAGCCGCCAGCCCGCTCCCCATGCACCTCTGCACCTCTGCACCTCTGTATTTTACTTCCGCATCGCACCTCCTCTGAGTCTCAGTATGCTTTTCTCTTTCCTTCTACTTGTAGAATTTCCACTCAGCCAGCCTTCCTGTGGTTCTGGATGATGTCTGTTCCGTCTTTTAGTTGTATTTTTGAAGTGGTTGTGCGAGACAGCAATCTTCGGTGTTTACCTATGCCACCACCTTCCTCCTCCATAGCCACGTTTTTGGTTGGTGTCCAAACACAGCATAATCTGGACTGAGCAGCCACTGGCTGGGTGGTTCTGTGATTTGGAAAGATTTCAGTTTCTCGGAGTCCAGCTCTGTCCTTTGTAAAATAGAAATAAAAGTAAAGACAGGAACAATACCTATTTCCAGAGTTGCTGTTAGAATCCAGCTAACTCAGGTACAGTATATAAAATTCTTTGTGAACTAAAAACAAAAACAAAAATCATTTTTAAAAAAACATGCAAAAAACAATCAAAAACACTAAACAAATATCCATAGACAGAGCTGCTGTACAGGTGTGAGGACACCCGTGAGCAGCACCTGGACCCGTCAGCATGAAGTGCATGAACTCAGGGACTGAGTTGAGGGTCAGAAGAGGCTGTCCCTTCAGTCCTGCCCCTCCACCTCACGCAGAGGCTCTTGGGATTCACTTAACCTGGGACAGTCACTGTAGGCTCTTCCTTTCCCAGAAAGTGCAGCTCAGCCTTTCCAACACAGCTCAGCCCTCGGTCCCTCGTTCCCAGATGAAAGCCCGGAGACCCTGGGGTTGACATGGCTGCGGAGAGGAAGGGCCATGAAGATACTCGGACTCTGCCTAGCAACACTGCACAGCCTCCATTCAAATAAGAGATTTCAACTTCCCAGGGGCTGGCACATGTGCATCTCCACCTGATACCATTGTAATAACCTGGTTATTATTTAACAGGAAAGGAGTGAAAGAGGAGACCAGATAGTATAGGCGTGCCACTTACACAGCTTTGCCAAAAAGCTGCATTTAACACTCTCCAAGTCTATTCCCCGCTGATCCATGGGGGAAGGAACTAGAGACAAAGGCAGGTTAGACGCATGCCCAGTAAGGTCTGAGTGATGTGGGAGGCTAATTGCCCATCAGTCAGACCTGGAAATAGGTAATTGGCCAGAATGGGCATGGCCACTGCAAGCGCACAAAACCTGAATATTTCAACTTCTAAACAAAGAAGTGGGCTCCCTTGGCTCCCATGCCTGTTCCCGTTGGGCTCCTGCAGCAGGGGCTGCGCTCCCCTCTGCCCACATGGCACATGGCCTTGTTGGGCTCCACAAAAGGACTAATAGACTGTAACCACACCCGGCTGCAACATGGGATGGAAACTTTGGACACTGGCCCTCTTTCTGCCTCTACGGAACTCCCAGCTGCCCCTCTTCCTGGACCGGCTTGGGGGAAATGGGACATTGGAACCTGAGAGATGTAACTCTACACCAGTGAAATTTTTTGCCACCTCATCCTCCCGTGGGGGCTTCTGAAAATTCCCATTTCAGCCACGCCCCAAGAACCCCACAAACAGTGGAGGGTCCCCACTCATCTACCCCTCCGGCAGCACACCCAGGCAGTCCTCATCCACCCATGAGTCTCACCCATGAATTATGCATCCCGTCTCTGACAGGCATAAAGGGAGCAATTTTCATTTCCCTCTATTGTTGGGGAGACCATCTGGGAGGTGATGCTGCAGAGTAAAAGAATGTAAATTTCAGACACAGCTCTGGGGGGCATATGCTGTGGGATCCCAAACTCAGCAGTGCTTGTGACTCACCTGAGAAGGGGCAGTGCCTCCTGGCAGGAAGGGGCTGGTCCTCAAAGCCACTACCCTGCAGGGCTGGGGGGACAGCTGCTGCGTAGACCGTGCATCACCCACTTCCATCACAGGACCCTCCAGACAAGGCCCTTGTTTGTGGTTTGAATGAGCCCATCAGACTTTGCCTGTTTTCTCAACGAGACAAGAGAAGTCCTAAGAGGAAGCTTCCACCGTTTCACTAAAGCACTGCTGCTGTCTGCACGCTGATGAGAGGCTCAGGTGGGCATTTCACGTGCATTTTAATTCACAAAATAGGAAAGGACATCGTCGGCACCTGTGGGCTTCATCGGTGTCTGCGTGGGAAGGCAGGGGAGACACGAGGGGGCATTGCTGGGAGTGCTGGTGGCCATGGCACCCACACAGGTGTTAGGCTCATACAGTGCACCCACCTGAGTGTTTGGTACCTTAGGTGAGCGCCTGCCTCTGAAGCCACCTCAGGCCAGCATGCACTGCGGTGATCCTACATATCTCCAGCCTGCACCAGGGGGGCACACGTTTAACAACCTCCTGCAGCTGACAAAAGCTGGAGTAAAATGGGACTCCATCTCTCTAAAATCATCACGGAGAGTGGCCCCCGTTTGGGATGAATCGGCCTGAGTGTGCCATATGCTGATGAGGAGAGAAAATGTGTCGTGGGGGCCCAGCCCGTGGGATAACTAACTGGGACACAAGCATCCTCTAGCTGGGCATGTAGGAGTGGAAGCCCCTTGACATGATTCCCAGGTAAGGACCGACCCAAAGCAGCTCTGCCTCAAGCTGGCCTGCAGTGAGTGGGTTCTTGACTTCGTGTAGGGAAGATGTCACAACAGGAGTGCAGATGGTTTGAGGGTACATTCACTACAGCGGGGGACAGTGAAACAGGGAAGAAATTAGGGTAGAAGAAGCAGCAGGGGAGAGCCTAGGACAGTGATGGCGAACCTATGACACACGTATCAGAGGTGACACGCGAACTCATTTTTTTGGTTGATTTTTCTTTGTTAAATGGCATTTAAATATATAAAATAAATATCAAAAATATAAGTCTTTGTTTTACTATGGTTGCAAATATCAAAAAATTTCTATATGTGACACGGCACCAGAGGTAAGTTAGGGTTTTTCAAAATGCTGACCCGCCGAGCTCAAAAGGTTTGCCATCACTGGCCTAGGGGCTGCTCTGCTCTGGCTCTAGAAATGTTACAGGAAAGAACTGAGCCAAGACAGGGCTGTTTAGCTCACTGGGAAGTCAGAGGAAAGGGGGCCGTGGAGACAGGATCAGGGGTGAGCCCGGGTCAGGCTGCAGCTGCCCTCTGCTCCCTGGTTACAAGTCTCATGGGGACCCTTAGAGTTTAGGAAGAAATCAAATGTTCGTGCCCGAGAAGGGGCACAGGTGACACACTGATTCTTTGTCCTGGGGGCTTTTTATCCGCCCCCCCTTACTTTTCTTCAGGTGAGAACCTTAGGGGAGGGTTTCAGCAGAATATTCATCAGCTTTCCAGGTGCATTTTTAATATGCTGAAGTATCAAAATGAGTGTATTGGGGAATTTTGGGTTATTCTTTGGTCGGTTTTGCTGTTGTCCTTTTACCTTAGGTCTGTCTGGCTTTAATGGGGTTTTTGTTATTTGTTATCCAACTTCATCTGTCCTTGGGTTTAGCTGGCACAAATGGCATTAATTGGGTCTTTGTTCTCTATTTTCCCAGGCTAAGGTGATTCGAGCTTTGTATTCTCTTGTTAGGGAGGAGAGGTATAAGTCATTACTCTCAAGTGTTCCTGGTTGGGGAAGATAAGGTCTTGTGATTCACAAGCTGGCTGCAAGCTGCCCAAACAGTTTGGCCTATTTAATTTTCTTGTCTCAGTTTCCCCATTCCACCTGCCCAGGGATTTCCCTAGTTTCTTATTATCCTGCCACAATGTCACTGCCCTTTCGCATCCTCGAGCTCCGCTCCAGTGCGCCCTCTGCAGGGAGGTTTGATCAGTGGTGGAATTGGCCGAGCTGCTTTTTAAAAATCCCTGTCTCAGCCCTGGCCAGTGTGGCTCAGTTGGTTGGGCGTAGTCCCTGCACCAGGAGGTTGCTGGTTTGATTCTGAGTCAGGGCACATCCCCAGTAGGGGGGTATGCAGGAGGCAGCCATCCATGTTGCGCTCTCACATTGATGTTTCCCTCTCTCTCCCCCCCCTTCTCTCTCTCTAAAAATCAATAAGCTAGTCTTTTTAAAAAAATGAATAAATGAAATAGATAAATAAATAGAAATCCCCCTGTGTCAGAATAAAGAGTGGAATCCACAGAATGTGTCCTGAGAGTAGCCAGTTCTGTCTTCTGTAGAGCAGACCTTTACCCCCACTGCCCAGCCCTCGTCCCAAAGATCTGTGAGTAATTGACTCCTATAGGGTTTTGTCATCTGTGGAATGACCCATAACCCTGTGCCTGCAATTTTTCTCTTCCTGTTCTTGGTAAGAGTTCCCTCGGCTGGGCACTTCCTTTTGGGGGGTAGCACTTGCAGGCAATAACAACAACAGTGACCTTCCCGGGGCCAGGCTCCACCTCCAGATTCAGAGGGCATCACAGAGTGGTTCCTTTACTAACCATCTTCACCCCCACTTTCTCTCTTGCAGAGCAACTACTCCAGTGATACAGAGAGCGAGGACAACTTTCTCATGATGCCTCCCCGGGACCACCTGGGCCTCAGCGTCTTCTCCATGCTCTGCTGCTTCTGGCCTTTGGGCATTGCCGCCTTCTACCTGTCCCACGAGGTAAGGCCCCTCACACCCAGCACACCCAGCAGTAGGAGGAGAGTCAGGAAGGACTTTCTACTCATGCCACCAGAGGACTCTACTTTATGGCTGGAGAACATGCCTGGGTAAGTCGGGGTGCCACAGGGAGCTCAGGGGTCAGGGCCACCTCACCTCAATAGTCGTCCTGGGACTGCCCCCAGGCTCCCCAAGGTAAGGTGGGCAGTCTTCCGGGAAAGGGCTGAATAACGGAAACCGGTGTCCACTGGGGAAAAGCAGATAGGTTGGGGAGCTTGGCCTTCATGCAGGCACCTGGGCCTTGGCAGTGGCATTGACCCAGTGCTGGGAAGCACTGTGCCCAGGGTGAGGACATCTAACAGACTGAGAATGGACTCACAGGGGATGCGTTTTCTTTGTGAAAGGCTCATTCGATAAAATAGATTCTAGTTTCACAGCTGTCTATGTGTCCTCACCTCCAGTCAATGTTCTGCCAGTGGAAATGGTGTGTCTTGGTGGGTGGCCAGTGTGAGGGCTTCGGAAGGGTTCGATGTCTAGCCCTCTTTCACTGTAGAGCATCCTCCTTGCTGTGCCTTCATGGACCCCAGGCTTTGAAAGATTTCCACTAGCAAATGAAAAGCATTCTTTCAAAAATAACCTATCTTCCCATTTTTATTAATCATAGGAAGACATTTATACTTGCCCATTTAAGCACGAGGTTCCAGCAGCACCACCATCCCAGCCCAGCAGAAAGGAAGGCAGCTGCTGGGCTGGCCGGGGAGAGTGTGGCGCTGTACTCCTGGCTCCTGGGATGCCCCTCAGCCCTGGGCTTCCCTCTCCAGCTGCGAGGTTCTGGGACTGAGGCAGCAAACACTGATTCTGACAGGTCTTTTGTTTGAAATATTTCTTTCTCTCGGCTTAAAAACAGATTCCTTGGCCAAGCCCAGCAGTGGTCTCTCACTGCTTCTTGCTGGTTTCGGTGTTGATTTGGTTTTTGTTTGGCTTGTGACAGGAGTCCCATTGTACCCTTTATTTTACCCCTGACCCCCCTTTCCTGATACCACGCAGGGGCGAGCGGTGAGCTGACAGGTGGTGGTACTCCTGAGGGCACGCACCTCTTAGCAGGGGCACTCTGAGGGCCTTCAGGGCAGGGGCGAAGGAGCTGAGGGACAAGGTGGGGCCCTGCTCAGGGCTGCCTTGTGGTCCTGGTCTGGAGGGTAGTGGGTGGGGAGGGTGATGGGAAAGTCCCGCATGACTGAGGTGGGGCTGAGCAGTTGCTCTACACCCATCGATGGCCTAGAGCAGTGATGGCGAACCTATGACATGTGTGTCAGAGGTGACACGCGAACTCATTTTTTTGGTTGATTTTTCTTTGTTAAATGGCATTTAAATATATAAAATAAATATCAAAAAAATATAAATCTTTGTTTTACTATGGTTGTAAATATCAAAAAGTTTCTATATGTGACACGGCACCAGAGGTAAGTTAGGGTTTTTCAAAATGCTGACACGCCGAGCTCAAAAGGTTCACCATCACTGGCCTAGAGGGTCAACCCGAACAGCTCTTGTATGAGTTTGTCCAAGAATGCCACAGGCCCCCCTTCTTTGGAGGCACAAGCATTGGCTGGAAAGCAAGACTGCCAGGTTTGGTAGGGGCCTGGGCGGCTCTGGGTGGAGCGAGGCCCAGGTGTGCCTAGACTCCAAGGAGAAATGTAGGTGCTGCATATGCTGAGTACTGGGACACAGGCTGGGGCCTGGAGAAAGGCTTATGGACAGACATGCTTCGGTGCAGAACCTGCTGGCAGAAGATCCCAGAGGAGGAGAGCTTACCCGCTTCTGTGTACACGGCACCCCAGCCTGGGTTATGGTGCTGCAGTGACAAGAGCAGCTTCACTACAATAGGGAAGGCCGGGATGGAGCCAAGAGAAATGGCTTCTCACACACTGTGGGACTGCTGGCTTTTCCCATGAACTGAACATGGATGTCAACCCTCTCTCCTGCATCCCAGTCCTGCCACGTGGTGAGGTTAAACGGAGCAGATCACTCCCAGCCTCCTGGGGAAAGCCTTGACCTAGCCCCCAGCAGGAGGTGCTGTCCACAGCAGAGCTCTGATTGTCAATTTTTAAAAAATATATTTTATTGATTTTTTACAGAGAGGAAGGGAGAGGGATAGAGAGTTAGAAACATCAATGAGAGAGAAACATCGATCAGCTGCCTCCTGCACCGCCCCCCCCCCCCCCCCGAACTGGGGATGTGCCCACAAACAAGGTACATGCCCTTGACGAGAATCAAACCTGGGACCTTTCAGTACGAAGGCCAATGCTCTATCCACTGAGCCAAACCAGTTAGGGCTAATTGCCAATTTTTAGAGTAGGATTGACTTTCTTACCTTGGATCCTACTAGGACAGCTGTTACCTGTTCCAGAAGGTGGAAGTGCACATGAATAAACGCAGCTGGAGGCACCGGGGAGGGGGGGGGAGCGAGCCCTGGGGAAATGGGAGGGCACAGGACAGGTTGTCTGTGAGGCCGGACAGAGAGGAGGCCGTCCCTTGCCTTGGCTGCTCTCCGTGTCCTGGCGCAGCCCTGTCTCCGGTGCAGGGCAGGTTGCACGTAGGGTCTTTGTCTAAAAGAGTGTACTTATACCAAGACCACAGTTCCAGAGACGAGCATTTAGAGTCTCTCTCAGAAAGTAATTTTATTCTTCACATGGTAGAAAGAAGCCTCTTCGACTTGGGTCTGACCCGTCATGACATTTCATACCTTTGATGAGAAAGAGGATTCCGATTATTTGTTCAACAGTGAGCGTGAACGGCCATTTCCGTGGAGGCCTCCGGTCACGTTTCTCCGAGGGGAAGGCGAGGGTCTGGGAGTCTAGGGCTTGTTTCCCTGTGGGGATCAGAAGAGGTCCCAGGCTTTCAGTCCTTTTCTTTGTGCTTTGAGGATGGATTTCCCATTAGTGGGACCAAAGCAGAGAAGAAATCTCTGGAGGTAAGCGCCCTCTACGGGGTCTGTACCCAGATTTGCCCACCTGGGAATGGCCAGGCTGACCAGGCCCCCGCAGCTCTCTCCATCACCGCCCGCACTGTGTGGTTCTGGGCTCGGCTGCAGACCAGGGGGCGACCCCCTGACACACAGGCTTTAGCACAGCCACGAGGCTGTGGGCGAGCTGTGTGTGCTTCCACAGCCTGCCTGCAGGCACACAGTCCTCTGCAGGCATTTGAGGGGAGCACGCAGCTGCTGGAGGGAGTGTGCACCTGCAAAGAACAGACACTCTGAGAACCATTACACCACATTCATCAGTGCTTCCTCGGGCAAGGCCGTCTGGGAGTTCTGGAGAGAGGAGGGCACCGGACAGAGGAGCACCCAGAGCCATTTCTACAGGGTCCTTTGCAATTGTCACCAATGCCTCCTGCTGCCCAGAGGTGCTGGGGGCTGGAGTGGTGACGTCAGAATAGAGCAATCGGAATATTGATGAAGCCAAAGCTCCCCAAGTCCCAACACTGTTCACAGGGAAATCTTTGACACCAGTGTGACGGCTGTTTTTCTTCATCTATCACAGATCCTATTTCACTGCGTCACTGACAATTAGATGGTGTTTGCACTTTGTTAAATAACCACTCAGTGAGGTCAAGGGAACATGCAGGGCCATTTTAGAAAAAGAAAGCCAGTATCTCAGTGTTTGGACGACATGAGGCAGTGGTGAGACAAATCCACAGGCTCCCTGGACTCACAAAACCCAGGGTGGTTTTTGTTCTGTCCTATTTCACCTGGGCCCAGATCGGTAGGCAACTTCTTCACGCCTCAGTGTCTTGATCCATAAAGTGGTGTTAAAATGCCCTGCGGCATGGAGCTCACCAGGTGTTCGGGAAGTGAAGTTAGAGAGGGAGTCCCCACAGGTGCCAGGGAAAGCAGCAGGTGCTGAGCACGCTCTCCTGCAAATCCTAATTGTCGGGCCACATGTGGGGCCCTGGATGAAGAGACTCCTAGGAAAAGACGACTCAGGGTCTTTTCTCCAACAGCCTTTATCAGTGAGAAAGGTGTCGTAGTAGTAATGGAAGCAATAAAAATGCTTGTCAAGTGGGAAACGTGTTGATCGCTAAGTGTTGGTCCCATGTTACATACTTTGCACCTGCTACTCCGGGTGTGGTCCTGACCAACAGCATCAGCATCCCTCACACAATTAGACATGCACGTTGCCTGGCCCCACCACAGATCCACTCAGACGGTTCCATGCCTCTGGGGTGGGCCCAGGAACCTGCATTTGAACAAGCCCTCCCGCTGATCCTGATGCTGCTTCGGTTTAAGTAGCTGTTGCCCATGCGTGATCTCATAGCAAGCCTGTGATGTGGCACTGCCACGGCATCCCTCTGTGGCTTTGTGACCAAGGTTCAGTGGGTGGAAGGGGTCCTGAGGCCTGAGCTGGCTGGCTAGGGGCTGGGGCTGCCAGGATGCCTGGCTCAGAGCCATCCCTGGGAAAGGCAGCTGCTTGGGCCTGACTGTGATGAAAGACTCGGCGTGGAGGCCTGTGGAGGTGGGTGAGTGTAGCACTTGTCCCAGACATCATTTTACGCCAACAGTGTTAACCGATCCAGCTCCCATTGCACTCGAGCTTCCTAAACCACTTTGTAAAGAGGAAAGTGTTGTGTGCAGTTTTGGTAGGATATCCAGGAATGGATGCTCCTGAATGACGTGGAGGTTAGAACTGAATCCATAATTTGCTGAGCAACTTCTGTGAGTTAATTAATATGCACACTTATTCAATCTTTGCAATGAGTCTGAAAGGTGGGAAATTATTATCCCCATTTTATGGATGAAGAAACTGGTTTCAAGGGATTAAATAATTTATAAAAATCAGAGAGGTAGTGAGTATTGGCACTTGATGCAAATGGAGATTTTCTACACCTTAAAATGAAATTTTCTGCATTAAAACTTTGACCTTCTTATCTGTCTGAAAACAAAAATAGAAGCACAGTACCGGCTTCTAAATCCAGTCCCTCACTCTGCTAGGAGGCTGGTGCAGTGA